TTGTGGGAGCCCCTGCTCGACCACAGTAGGTTCAGATGGGAACCCCGGTTCAACCACTGCATTCACGTGCGGGAACCCCTGTTCAACCGCATTAATGACGCACGGGAACCCCTGTTCGACCGCGTCGTCCTCGTCGTCCTCTTTGCTCTGTAGCGAGGAGTCACTGTCACTTGTGTCTCGAAGAACAGCACAAGCAGTGCAGAGAGAGCCATCGCTCGCTCTGTGCACCGCCAACGTCGTGGAATCACGATCCACGACTGTGACGTTCGGTCAGTCACTTGGAGATACCAAGAGATGGGTAAACACTTCACTGACATCGAACTTGCGTCGACGTCTCACTGATCTGGCTACCAGTCGATATGGGGCTTATAACGTGCCAACCATGGCATGCCCAGTATGCAATCGAATGCATAATTCATTGCGATCACCAAGAAATCATCATTACTGCGAAAGCCATCAAACGTATACGGCAACGACACTTCGCGCCGCGATACGCGGTGTAGTTTCCCGTCAGCCAACTTGACGACGACTTGGCCAGGTCCCTCACGGACCTGAATGCTGGGAGGCAGCATCGACAAACAAGATTCACGAAAGAAATTGTTTGTTGCTCCTGAGTCCAGGAGTGCTCGCAGAGGTCGCCGGACGCCGGCGACATGTAAACTGACAATTATCAGACGTGAATTACCACTCGTAGTGGTGGCATTTAACCGTGCGCGTAGCGCAGGAGGACTGGAAGGTTGGGCTGCCACCGGGGGACCCGGACCTCCGTTCCAACCAGTAGGGCGCCCTGCACCTACTGGTCCCGACCGTTTTTTGGACGTGCGGCCGGTACAGCACCATCATGATAGGCATCCACTACTTGCACCGATATCGGCGTTGGCGCACGGCACTCAGCCGAGCGATGCCCTGGCTTGCGACAACGAAAGAACACTATTTGGCACCCGGTGCGAGCGTCACCCTTATATAAAAAGACACTTCGTCGGTCACCCGACGACTCAATCACGTCGATCTACATAGGTTTTGGACCAGAGGGCCGGGGAAAACTGACGACCGAGGGTTTGGCATATGCCTTTGTGACCCTAAAGTCTTCACGGAGTGCGATGGCAAATTCCTCCTCCAATGTGGCAGGCTCGGCGCTCCAGCGATAAGCGGGTCTGCCCCTCACGCATACCATCCACAAAGACATTCACCTGCGTGTACATGTCCATGGAGTGCGTGATAATACACGACGCCAGATGCCTAGCCATCTGTACGTAGTCGCGCATCGCCATTTTACCCTGTCGCATCGACAGGAATCTTGATCGCACCAGTTTCTGCTCTTGTGGTGGCTCGAAAGCAAGTCGGAGATCGTCCTGGATGGTATCCAAGGTGGGGAATGCGTGCTCGTCCACAACGAGCTTACCAAGGGCCCACTCCTTGGCCTTCCCGGTGAGGCGGGAAAGAAGAAAGTTGACCTTCGCCTGTGGAGCCTCAAGAAGTCTCGAGGCGATGGCGATATCAACTTCTCGGAACCACCGATTCAGCGATAACCGGTCCTTACCTTCTCCAGAGTAGGAGGAGGTTTCCATCTTCACGGCCTCATTACGTGAAGGGCGCGAGGGAGTTAAGCCTCGCCGGTTGGATTCGGCGAGCTCGCGTGCCATAAACTCATGTATGGCGAGACGTTGCGCGTCAGGGGTCGCTGATCTCATCAACGACGCGACGAATGCCTCTCCCGATATCGCCGCGAGGCGATTAAGGGCATCCCACTCAACACCAGTAAGATGGGGGAAGGTCGTGTGCTCCAGAAATAAATCTGGAGCGTCAAAGTACGACGATTCGCTCATCCCAAACTCGGGCATAGGAAGGACTACAAAGTGCTACCAGGTGTAACGGGGCTAGAACGTACCGTCACTAGCTTACACGCGCGCTTGAGGAAGACTCAAGCCCAAGTATTAGGTATTAAGTAAATTTAACTCTGATTTTTATTTTGGTTTTAATTCGTACTAATTACGAAGATTTTAGTCGTAATAAATACGACAGTGTTCCCGCCTTTCGGGAACCACGCAATTTCAGGTTGATTTATCATTGGTCCATATTGGGGACTTTAGGCCCAATAATAAACCAATAATAAATTACCACGCTGTGCCCGCTATTCGGGCCCAGCACCTGCCTACATATGTAATTGTTTATTTGTGTTAATACTGTATGTGTAATGTAGCCCATTACAGTAGCCGAGGTGCTGTTGTAGGATTGCTCCTCAACTAAGGCAATGTCAATTGCCTCTTCCATCGTCGCTGGCACCTTTCTGAAAAGGGCCTGACGCGATTGGCCGTGCATAAGTCCATTCATGAGCGTGGCCATTTTGATACGCTCTGGTATCGCTTCCCCATTAATGGAAGCCGACAGCGAACGCATCTCCTGCACAAATTCTTGCAGAGAGCGTTTCGCCTGTCGTGCTCCAAAGAAGCGCGCCATAAGCAACACTTCGTTGTTAAACGGATGATACATGGCGCGAATCTTTAACTCAAAGATCATCCATCATGGAAACGCATCAGCATTAGCCATCAGCGCAGAGTATGCCCACTCTGACGCTTTGCCACGCAAGTTGGACATGGCATACGACACCATTCTGGTGTCTTCTTCGATGAGCTGCGCCACTCCACATTGCTCAACTGCTAATAGCCAGTGAACAATCGTGTGAGGGCTAGTTCCATCGAACTTCGGAGGGTCCATCCGAATGGGCCTCGGTTGAGCAGGTCGGGCAGAGAGCGTCTCAACAGTTCTGTTGAGCGTCTCATTTCGTGCCTGCTCAAGCCTAAGCTCATCCTGAGTCTTAGTGATGGACTCAGCGGTGGCTTGGCTGTTTACCTTGGACGCGTTTCTACGCTGTCCGAGCACAAACGACTCAAATTGCTCCAACTGAGCAACATGTTGCTCAGGAGGACAATGCAAGAGATTGACCAGGGCTTGTTCATCAAGTCCCTGCGCCATATGCTCTGCCAACTCCCTATGATGTTGGAGAGGTGAGGGAAGTCACTCCAGGCCATATTAAGGACCATGTCAACCACACGCACGCTCAGAGAGACGGGTCGTGGGAAGGACTACTAGTGCTACCAAGTGTAGACGGGCACTTCTATGAAGTTGCCTCGTACTACGAGCACACACCTTATGCACAAGCGAGGAAGCGGTTATACCGTCTTACCTTCGCGTGCGAGGGTGGTTGGGAGGTTGGTCGACTGCTTAAGCAGTCGCACCACCAGTTGCCTCTCGCTTAAGCGAGAGTGCAACGAACTTCTTAACACTTAGAACACCGACGTCACGCAGAAGTCTTTCAACTTCTCGTGCGTGGTGTTTCTGTTTAAGTAAATTCAAGACTGAGATATATTTAATTAATTATAACTAAATATATGTTTAACTACTGATTGGCTATATATATATATATATATATTGATCGGATACGCGACTCTTTAGAAGCGTATCCTGTTGCATGAACTTAAATCTAGATTTAAGATCGCAACTGACGCCCTTCTGAGACGTCGCGATGCCTAGCTTCAACTAGCGTCATCCCTTCTCATGTGAATCCATAAATGGATATCACATTCACGAGGGTGGATCACATTCGTGTTTCGCACCCAAGTGACAGGTCAAAAGTACTTTTAGACCAAACATTAAGTATATTACTTAATGTTTACGTGTAACTAGATGCCCTGTTACACGCGCCATGCATTGTGAACGGGGAGTTCTTACAAGATACGTAGGTATTTAGACCTGTCACTTAGGCGAGGCACGCCGATGTGACCAATTCTCGTGAATGGGTATCCATTAATGGATTCACATCCCACGGGATGACGCCCAGTTGGGCCTAGGCGTTATGATGACGCTCAAACAGACGTCATCAGCAAGCTTAATATATTTTTATCTCGCACGTTGGGATACGCTTCTAAAGAGACGCGATTCCGCTCTTTTATATTTAACCAGTCAGTAGATAAATTTAGATTTATTTAAATTCTATTTAATATATAAGTCAGACCTTAATTCGCTAATTACCGTCCACTGCGCACGAAAAGTTTAATTAACTTCTGCATGACGTAAGCGAGGCGCTTCTTAGTTGTTCGTTGCGCGGACCGCTCTAAGCGGCCGGCAACAGTTTGGTTCGGCACTTTAAGCGACCGACCTACGCAACCAACACCGCACGCGGAGGTATCACGGAAGATGTGTGCTCGTAATACGTGGCAGCTTCTTTACGAAGCGCCCGTCTACATTCAGAAGATGCTCTCGTCAGATCCGGCTGAGCAGTCTCATCCTCTCCGATAGGATTGCGAAGCTCCGACATCGTCATTAAATTCCGGACACGCAACTGCTCTAGATGGTATCTCAGCTCCTGCTCCATCTTTTTGCCATCTTCTACTATCTAGGTAGGCAAAACACTCTTAAACACTGTAAATTAACATATAGCTTTTACTCATAGCACAGAAAATACAACGTTACGACGTGTCTCACATCCTTGGGCCAGGTACAACTTTTAAAGGAGTCAGGGACTTAAGTTCTTTCAGCAGTCTGAACCTTAGAGCTGGACTTGCCAGGTTTCTTTTTATTATTCAAGTTCTCTTATGGTCAATACACATAAACCGATAAGATTGTCGTCCACCGCACCCATAAGTTTACGGAGAGAGTTCTGTATATGCAATATAGAAACTTCAATCGTATATACTTTCGGTATGATGTTACAACCGTCGTGCAACCCCCTTACTTACGACATTCTAGCTAAGTACAAAAGCGTGTCCTTCACATTAATAACACAGAAGCACAGTCTCAGTATAAGCTACAAAAACAGACAGCGTAGTTTAACATTCACTTACCATTCATCGAGCCTATTCGCTTTAATCTGGATAAATGGTTAGATGCAAATGTGTCAGCATGGCATAGAAAGAAAAGGAGACAATGCAAGATGATCGAATTGCGAGCAATTACCCAAAAAAAACTCTGAAGTAAGCACATGTAGTCCTAGCTGCTCAGTCTTACTGGATACACAAGATAGCTGCCACAAGACTTGCGATGCCGTTCACATAGATGGCAATAGAAGTCGCACTTGAAGCGGATGATGAAGACGGTGTCGGAGAAGAAGACGGCGCCGAAGGAGAATACATCGATGACGGAGAATTATCAGCTACTAAAGCAGCATCCGGAGTGGACGGATTGGTGGTAGTTGGAGCAACGTTAGGTGTAGACGAACCCGCGGTTTTTACAACAGCATCAGGAGTGGGCGAACCCGCGGTTGTTACAACAGCATCAAGATTGGACGGCCCACTAATTGTTAAAGCATCATCAGGAGTGGAAGAATTCGTGGTGCTTACAGCAGCCGGGGGCTCGTTTTCAACTTTCGTTCCCGAATCAGCAGTACCTGCATCCGTACCAGGCGACAAAGAGTTAGAGTCCGTTGCAGTTAAAGCAGAACTGGCTGGCGCAGTAGCTGTGCTCGGAGCACCAGTGGCCGGAGCAGTGATAAGGGTTGGCTTGTTCTGCGTACCAGTGGTTAAGGCTGGGGCTGTGGTGCTCGAAGTCGAAGTGCTTGGGGTGCTTGAGGTGCTTAAAATGCTTACAGTATTTGAAGTGCTTGGAGCTGATGTCGGAGGGCTACTTGGGTTAGTATTCCCACCTGTTTGAGTTAGCACTGTCGGGGTCGAGGGGGTTGATGGTGAGACCGTTCCAGCAACACACGTCATGGCCAGTTCGTCTTTCGTTGAAGCGGTGTTGCACACCTGCTCACCTGGACACACTTCTGACGAAACGTTCTCCACGCACAGCATCCAGCAGGTAGTCGCACTGCTCGACGATGCTTCACAGTCGCAGTATTTCTCACACAAAGCTGCATCACTGGCCGAGGCGTGGTTACAGGTGATCTGACACGAAGACGTAAGATCCGACTCCGAAGCCGAGCTTTTCAATGTGCACATTTTGAGTGAGCAACTTTTGTCTGACGCCGCCAAATGCCGATGAGGTGGACAAGCGACAGCTCCAAAAGCCTCATGGTTTTCAACTCCCTCTTGTACCAGATATCTAGTAGTCTGGTTTGCGTACTGGCCGAACGTGAGACCAGTGTTGTCCATCACCTGCTGTGTCTCAAGCAGAATCATCTTGCCAAACCACGACCGCAGCAGTGTGTTACCTTGCTCGTCACCGTCAAGTAGGCTAACGCTTCGTGGATAACGCATACCATGCAACACTGAGCGAAGAGGTGGAGTCGTTTTGATCCAATTATCGATACCCGATCCCAGCATCAAAATGAGCTCGTCTGGATTCACCACTGGACGCACAATTTCTCCACTTGATGTCTGAATAAACAGACCGGCGTCTTCACTTTGCGTGTCCTTGTGATGCACCTCTCCGTTCTTTAACTCGATAAAATACTCCGGTGCACTCATGGCAATCATGAGTCCGTTGTCCGTGTGCAGTTCCAGCGACATGTCGGCAACGTCAATCTTAGAATCATCCTCTTGTCGTTCGAGTCCCTGGACAGCTTCATAGGCATGAAAATGGTCCAAATGCACCGAATCTTCGAGCAATTTTCTCGCTGTCATTGTAATCGCCCCTTGCTCTGCCACAACATGAAATTTTTGGGTCGAATCCAGAGCAGTTCCGACATTAGCAACGGCCAATTCCACCACAGCACTGAAAGCAGCGTGGATTTCCACGTACTCGGGGCAAAGTTCCAGTAGTTGTTGGCTTTTGTCGAGAGCTTCGCTCAACTCATGACCAGATTCCAGACTCACCGTGTACCGTTTCGTACCGTCTCTCAATTGGCGATGGTGTAAGAACTCGGCGTCTTGTTTCTGGGCTTTCACGGCACAAGATACTGCATTGCGGAGATATTCTTGACGTAAAACCGAATAACGCGGGACATTCTTCAATGCGATGATGCCATTCTCTTGCAAATTAGTCAGCAGTTTATAATTGTGCGCATTATCTACGGCACTTGAGAGCTTTGTAAAGTCCACAGACGACACGCGAAAGTCGCGCGGCTGTAAGGCTAAAGTCAACGGCGACAGAAGCAGTAGAATGAGGCCACGTAGCATGGAGAAAAGATCAAAAAGATGGGGATTAGTGTCCAAGATGTGAAGGGTAGAGTGCAAATTGAAGACTGATGCTACAAATTATTGACTGGTGCTGCATATTATTGACTGCTGTATTTACGTAAGAGCCAGGTTTTTTGAACTACCGTAGAAAGTCGGTGTGGTGAATCCTGGTCGAAGATAGGCGTAGGCGATCCAATTTAGCGTTAGGTTTTGAGATAAATTTAAATGCACTGTCAGACAAACAATTCACATATTAGCCTGTGTTTTATTTATTTACTGCACGATGGCAGTGACAACCTTACACCTGTCCGCCTTGTGCCTGCCCTCTTTACTTTTGCGACATGATGTAGCCTAGATGCATAGCTCCAAATATGTGCGGTTGTAAGCATTCACACCGTCATCCTCAAGCATCGGGTAAGCGGGAGTCAAACCATCCTGCGAGTACATGTACAGCGAATTGTAGATCTTCCAATACACCTCACGTACACGGCGCGCCGGGTGGAACAGACCTTGCAAAACGTACTGCAGGATCACGTGCGGACCCAGTGCCACACGACAGCCTTCCACGGCTTCAAAAACGGCATTGATCACGTGCGGAGATGTTTCGAAAATGTTGGGCCACACAAAGTTGAGCAAGTGTACCAGCGCATCCTCACAGCCCAAGCCAGCAACACCCAGTGCCAAATGCTTTACTGTAGTGCAAGCAGTCTGGCGATGTACCAAGTCACGGTCCATCAGTGCGTCCTGTAGCAGCGGTGCCACCGCGTAAATGTAGTCCTTGCCCATTTCACCAATATACTCGAACATGAACGAAAATGCCTTCAGTACACCGTTCTGCACATTCAACTCTGGCACACGATATTCATTCATCAGAGCTGGAACTACAGTAAATGGTGAACAGGTTTCGGCGACAATGGCGATAGCTACTGTCGTACACACGCGGTTTTGTCGCTCTTGCACCTTCAGATTGTTCAGCAGAGTGTGCAGAACGTCCTGCGGACCAATTGCCTTAGCAATGTAGCCAAATGTGTTGACGGCAGCACGACGAATACCCTTCTTGTGCGCCTTCAGCATATCCAGCAGCTCGAAACAAATTCGCATCCATTCACGAGCCGATACCAGATCTGCACCACGATCGGCAATACGACCTACCAAATCAATACAGTTATGGACAGCAACGTCAGCCGCAAAAAAAGCGTCGTTGCCAGGAACAGTAAGGTCAAAGACGCGCTTAATACCGACGCTGCGTCGCTGAACAACACGAAGCCCCACAACCTTAACAGAAAGCTCGCCCAACACAGCAATGGCTTCCTCTTTAGATGCAACTGATATCTGATGACCGATTGGAATTTCTCCCGCAGACTGCCATTTTCCGTCAAAACGCAGCAGCCGGTGGTCTGGTGTGCAGACAAGCTCACGACCGTCCTCAAACTTAAGCTCCACACATTCACGCTCCCCGTTATCAAGGACACGCGTACACACCATGTCCAGGTCGGCAACGACAGAATTGTCGTTCGTAACGCGAGGGCTCATTACGTGGTCGCCCTTGACGAGGGATTCGATAGGCTTGGACGTCCCATCAGCCATGGCAACCATTGTTCCCTCAGCAATACAGTTTTCCTGAACCTTTTCATGACGATTCTTAAGAATAGGGGTCAGGCGTGGGAGCAGGTCCTTGATGGGCGGCGTCATTTTATTCATACCAATCACATTCACAATAGCCTTCAGTGCACCTAAAATGCTACCCAAAACCTCCGGGTACTCTTCGCCAAGGTATTCGTACAGAACGACACCCATGTGCCCCATCAGTGGTTCCTGGTCACACGTTTTCATAACCACAGCAATACGGTTAATCAAATCAGCCGCCTGCATGCGCACTTTAGCTGGCTTATTATTCAGCCGCCACTTGATCGTACCACAAATCTGCGGCAGATAGTTCTTCGCGCGAACCCCCAGAGCATTCACGACAATGCCGAACCCATTCAGCATGACAAAAGTATCATCCGACGTTTGTTCTTGGAAAGCATAAAGGATACCATCAATCAGTTTTTCCTCAAGGTCCGTTCCAATATCGGTGGCACCCAAGTTCGAGATGACCTTTTGGATCGCTTCCATAACCATGCGACGGTACGGCTCGCTTTCATCCTTCAGGTCATCTACTACCCGCGATATTATCTCACTTGCACCCACATTGTTCGCAAGCTCCACTGTTGTGTCCACCAGTTGGCGGTAGTTTCGTCGGTCCAACGCCATACGGCGAACCCAGAAGTGCCGGAAAAATTCAGGTAAAATCTTCTCTTTAACATAAGATGCTTCAACACCGTCAGTAGAAACACACTGCTTCACTACCTTCAGCACAATTTTCTTCATTTCTTCATCGGGCGATTGGAACTCACGAATTAAAATTTCCATCACCTCGACTGTGTAATAATTCGCATACTGGGCATCCATGAGAGGAATGATGAATCCAATCGCTTTTAGAAACGCCGCCAGGCCCTTGCCGTGGTGTTTGCGGGTACCACGCCACAGTGGCCGTAGAACGGAGTCAAACGACTCAATACCGTATGGATGCGCAGCCTCAGCAAGAGCAGCCAGGGCGAGTGCCGTAATAGTACGAACCTTTTGCTCGTCCTCAAGCCCATGCTCGATGATTTCTACAAGGTGCTTCAAGTGCGGCAACACAGCGCAACCCATAAGGATTGCGACCTGTTGTACAATCTTAATACCTGTGTGTCGAGCTTGCCACGACTTCCGCGACTGGCAAACAGCCTTAAGGAATGGCAGCAGAGCTGGGATACCCAGTGCCGAAGCAACGACAGCAAAGGCGCGCGCCGTTGTGTTACGAACATATTCATCATCAATATCGATATCCGGGCGCATGGTAGAAATCATCGTAGCGAGACCAGCAGCCTTGGCAAGATTCGAGATGATCTCGCGACCTTCCACACGAGCATAGTAGTCTTCGTCTATCAGCAGTGGCTCAATCACTACAAGAATCTTGTGAACATAAGGGCGGACGAGGTCATCTAGTTTGTATAGGATACGATCGATCACTTTGACCAACAAGTGGCGTTCCTGGTCTTCGAGTGTGGGCGCCATGAGTAACGGCAAAATCTGGTTAAAAAGCGCTCCGGCTTCAAACTCCCGCGCCTTATCGGTGAGCTGTCGCAGTGCAGTTTTTCGCTGCGGCGGGGTGCCGTTCTTAATTTTTAGCAGCAAGCGCATAATCTTACGCTCCTTTGCCGCCTCAGGGTCCAATTCTTCTTCGTTCACTTCATCCATTAGTTTGCCAAAGTACTGATAATCCTCTGGCTTAACAAACGGCATGGAGCTACCATCACCACCCAATGGGGTACCAATCGGTACGCCATAATCCTGGCGCCCAGGCGTCGCTTGCATTGCAAAGCCCGGAGTTTGGCCCATCGGTGTCGGAGTAGCAAGGAGCTTCCGCGACGGTGTTCGAATAGGCACATAGGAAGCAGGAGGGTCAAGAATCTTATATCCCGTCGTGGGAAACAACGCATCCAACTCCTCGTTCATCAAAGGGCGGTTTCGTTCCTCAATCTCTCGTTCCCAACGCATACGCTGAACCAGCTCCGGCGTCAATGCTCCACTCATGATATCAGTCATTGAGCCTCCAAGAGTCATCTGTACGCCTTTTCCAGACGTTGCCATGTCATTTGGACCAGTCACTGGCGTCTCATCCCAGCGCGAACGTTTTCCTGTCCCTGCAGGAGTCACACCACCTAAATTTACAGGCGTAGCGTCCCACTTCGACGCTGCATTGCTTGCAACTGGTGTTTCGTCCCATCGATTCTTCCTTCCTGGTGTAGCAGCCACAGGAGTGGCATCCCATCTCGATGACGTTCGTGTAGGCGTAGCAGCTGCAGCGCTGCTCGCTGAGCTCTCCGACACTGTATCCCACTCCGATTGGCTCTCTCCATCCGTCTTCTCAGTCACTGGAGCTTCCTGGTCCCATCTCATTCTCTTCCGTCGTCTTTTGGGCGTCGCATCGTTGTCCTGCACTTCCTGTCCCTGTTGTTTCTTTTGTTCTTCTTCCTCTTCTCTCTTCTGTTGAATCTTACGTACCACTTCCGCTCTCTCCTGCTCCAGCTGCTGCGTCTGCATAATATCCTTGTAGCTCCGCGCTGGCGTCTTGTCTCCAAAAGCGTCTCCACGTTCAGGCGACAACATGCGTTCGAAGCGTCGCTTACGGTACGCGTTCTCTCGGTCCACAATGCGCGTGTTTACGAGCCCTGAGCCATTAGCTTCACTTGCCTCTGCAAACGGATCATAATTGTCATCAATGAGGCCATCGTCGCCCTGTTTCTGCACCGTTGTCGTCTTCTTTAAAGAATGAGAGTGATGGTCTTCCGCTTGTTGTTCGTCCTCGTCGCCTTCTTCTGTAAGCGTAGCGCTATAACCGGCAAAGCGATCACTACTGTCAGCGCTGTAAATGTCCTGGTCGAACTGTCCCGTCGAGGTAAGACCTACGCCCACCTTCTCCTCCTTCTCTGCCATGTCGCACTAACCGATCCTTCGTTGCTCCTAGAAATTGCGGCGCTTTTTGCTTGGCTTTGAGGAGGAAGATCTAAATAACCTTAAGATGATAAAACCTCATGATCCCATAATAATGTGCTGTACATAGTATCGTGTAAGGAACGTTATTTCGGATTATAGGTGCGCACAATTATCACTTTACAATACACTTTGTCATTCTAAGTTCCATACTAGTAATAAACGTGCGATTTTCAAGTGTATATATTGATTAGTGTTACTATATACGTGGTTGACAAAATGAAGCGCTAAAGTTACTTATGCCAGCGCAATAATGAAAGATTTTGAGACTTAGACGGCAGGACGCCGAATCCGTTGGCTACCATTTAAGTCTCATACCTCTTTCCGAATGACCGTTCAAGTATTTTGCATAGAGAGAAGCATGATTGTTGTCAATTTCCGCTGTATGATGTACATAGGTGGCCTAAGAACTTATATTTGTGGGCTAGACAAAGCATGACGTCTTTATAATAGGGTCTATCCAATAGCGCGCGTAGGAGACGCGAGAGTAGACTATAGGTAGACTTATTCCGATACCACACACGTCGCCGCCTCGCGATTTGCGCCAACTAGCAATACCAACCACCACGTCATCGGCATCGTTGTCAGAGTACTCAATGAAAACCGGGTCTCCGTTGTCGCCTGTGCAGTATCCTTTGCTGATCTGACCTTCAACGCACATCATGGACTTATCCAAGACAATTTTACCGTCCACCTGACACTCGTCGTTGGTGATAAGGTTCGAGTCCACACGTCGCAACTCGTGACTTACCGGGGCCGAGGGACCCTCTGATGTGCGTCCAGTACCAACGGTAATTACCGTGGCGCCGACATCAAAGTCAGAGTCATCGGCCTTTGCCAACTTTGCGGGCTTATATGACGACGCGACCTCGAGCTCCAAGATGGCAAAGTCGTTGGAGAATTTCAGCGGATCCGTGAAGTTGGGGTGGATCATTACCGAGACGACCTTAATCTGTTCCCCATCCTCGGTCCCATTGTTAAAATGCGAGCCAACCGAGACCCAACGAATGTCGTACGTGATACACTGCGAGACTGTGAGCACATGGATAGGGCTGACGAGAACACCACCACATAAATTGTTGCCCTCCGCCGTGTTGCGGACCCCGGTGTAGTAGGACTTCCTTCCTTTGGGCACGGTGGTTCCGCCAAGGATAAGTTTACGCTCTACAGTATTAGTATAAGCGTCAGCACGTAAGGTAGCGAGAACCAGAGCAGCAAAAATAGCAACAGAAGCTGAAGCGAACTTCATTTCAATTATCTCTCGTGGACGCAGTTCAAAATCAGAAGTGTCATGGATGTCCAGATGCTGCATAATGATGGACTGATTGGCCCATGACACGAAAAAGCCGCTCAGGAACAGGTTTTCATTGGGATGTGCAGTGTTGACTATTCAAATTTGCTCAACTCTCACCAAGCTTGGACTCTAACGAAGAGAGTATTAGTCTGTCTCGTTATTGTGCAAAGAAGTGTGCAATATATCCTTTACATTTGTCAATACATCTACTGATCATTCACCGAAAGATTGACTTGCACAACCTTGTAGTGAAGCGCAAGGCTCCGTCTAATGAGAAGTAAGCCGGGGAGCTTACAGGTCCAAACAATGCCGTGTTGTTTATTAAGAGTCGCTCGCGGGTGAACAAACAAGCCGTTTATTCAGACTTTGATGTCTATTTAGAAAAAGCTGATCCAACTTACAGGGAGGTTAATCATAGGGATGTCACGTGGTTCAAAAGTGTCAGCTGGTGAAAGAAAAAGGATGCGATCACATAGCCGACGGCTCTTTTGGTCAAATGAGCAGGTACCAGCTCAAAATTTCGTGATCTCTCAACAGCAGCAGATTTGACAGATCTTTCTCGGATTCTGGTTCAGGCTGGTTGGACTGCTGCTACACGGACATTTCATAGCACTTGAGCTTTGCAACTGCGACTTTATCAGAAGTTTGATGAATTGGGGAACCTGATGTGCATTCTGCGCGAGCCTTACATAAACTTGTCTGTATTGCACCTTGTATTCAAAACCATTTGTACTTTTACCGACCATTTGAGCTTTGCTGAAACAGAGGATGAAGTTCTTCTCTGGTCTTGTTGCTGTAATTGCTGCTATCGCTTTGATCTCTGTGAGCGCCCAATTAGGGTCTTCCAGTCACCCCAGCGATCTTATCAGCGTCCCAGTCACGGAAATTAAGAGTGGCCTTGGTTACGTCGCGGGTATTCGCTCCACTAAGAATGGCGTCAACTTTTGCGCGGGCGTTGTTATCGGACCATGGCACGTCCTGACTAGGACGAGCTGCATTCGTAACAACATTCGCTGGGTCTCTCTCGGCTCCGACTCTTACACGGGTGACAAGGATGGCGAGCAGATTAAGGTTGTGGCATTCCTGGTGCACCCAAACAATACAGACTACCGGAATGACTTCCTCATTCTCGAGCTAGAATTGAAGACGACCATTAAGCCTATTAAGTTGGACCAGGCCAAGTCGATCGTCACGCCCGGCATGATAGCTGCTCGCCTTGGCTGGAACGACACCACCGCGGAAGCCGTGCAGTCGCGCTACCTTCATAGCGTTGAGGTGCAGCTGGTTAGTAACGACGAGTGCTCGAAGGAATTGGCGGTGGATGAGACTAACTTGTGCTCTCGAGGCATCTCAGCTACCAAGTCGTGCACAGGTGACAAAGGTGGCGCACTTATTGTAAAGCAGAAAAAAAATGACGTGTTGGTGGGTATAGTAAGTGGAAACAAAGGCTGCGGTGTGATTGGCGGCATGAGCGTCTACGCTCGTGTCTCTGCGGTTCGTCCCTGGATTGATTCGATTCTCAAGACCTATTGCGTCTACACTTAGTTTTGGTTCTAACGTTAGCTATACTAACTCTATCAATAATGAATCACTTGTCTTGCAACTCCTTACCATATCACAGTACATTGCATACAGTACATATTCCCAATGGTGACAACACTTGACCATGCTAAGTATTGAGTTTAGTTATTTATCAAATTATAGTCCCTTCATCCTTGTTTTTTAATTATTATTTTTAAATATTGGTGGGAATATGGATGAAGATGATATCGCTTCACGGCCTACGGGAATGATCCCGGACATTTTACTGGATGGAGACCGACTCAACATGTTACTAGATATTGTGTGTGCTGACTATATTACAGCGTGTTATGCTAGTCGTGAGAACGGCAAGCGGGTGGTCTTTAAGGCGCTGGAAAAACTCTACATCTCGGTACACGCCGGAGCTCCTGTTACTGGTGCTGATACACGCGTTCTGAGACCTGCACAAGATCCATTGTTTCAGGAACGAGCTCGTATATTCTACGATGAGTTGACGGCGGAGTTTCGCGCTCGGAAACGAGCTGTAGAAGCTGCTACAGATGTGATGACACCTTCGGGAACGTCATCGTCTAGAGGCCTTGATGACAGCGTTGTAAGAGAAGTTATGAAGCCCCAACTACTGCAGATTGTAGAGGAAATATGTCGTGAACATGACCGCCAGTTTTTTCTTGGTGGAGGCACGATGTCGTCGACTCGAGGAACTTCAGCTCCAGTTACAGCAGCTGATGCTGGAGCAATAGGAGAGACAGAGGGAGAATTACTGCCTCCTACCAATGGAGAGATCAGGATGGAAGGATGGCTACGCAAGAAGGGACAACATGTCAATTTGTGGAGAGAACGGTACTTTATGATTCGTTCGACGCCTAACGGCACGCACTTCTTGTGCTATCTGAGAAAGAAAGGAGATAAAGTGCCACGTGGATGGTACATACTGGGACCTGGCACGACGGTGGATGAAGTAAGAGAGTCGCCGAGTAAAATTGAGACCAAGAGGCTCTTTACATTCAGGATTCGTCATTTGAGCCACGCCACGAATGATGATGTGGAAGAAATAGGGGTTGGAGCGGAGATGACGCCCCGAACACCTCGTCTTGGAAATGACCTCCAGTCGTCTCCGTTAAACTCGTCGGCCTCACCTTATGAAATAGAGCTTGACGCGAGGGCAAGCGTCAAGCGCGCCACGTCGCGGAAGTTCCGCAATCGTGCGGCTGCAGCAGCGGCTGCGGCCACAGCCGCAACTGCTGTGGTGTTGACGGGTGGTCTGGCTGGTGTCGGTATTGGTATGATGGGCATGAGTATGAGCGCAGCGGCTGCTGCTAGCGCTGGTGCAGCGGGCGCCATGATTGCCCAAAGCCGCAGCAAGGGCCCTATCGCTCTTGCTGCTGAATCTCTAGAGACTGCAGTGTGGTGGCGCAACAGCATTCTTGAGTGTATTGCGCAGGCTGAAGAACAGTGGAAGCGTTATCTGAATTGGTATATGGATCATGACCCTGACATGGAGGAAGTTGGCGTCACCCCCTTACCTGAAAGCAGTTTGCATAGCTCCACAGCGCCAGCCAACAGTGCTGCAAGAAGAGAGTCGGCATCGTTGCAGGGATATGGAAAGGCTGGATTATCGTCACTTCATCCAGAAAGCAGATCGCAGTCGGGGTCGTTTGGGTCGATGCCACGATCCATCGCAAAGAGCTTCCGGACATCTGCTACATTCTCGCAAGAGACATCGTGGAAGCTGTACGAGTTCTCAAACAAACTAAGGGTTGATACAGAACGTTCGAGCCATCAAAGCAGCTTCGGCACGTCTGCACCCCCACCAGCTCTTCGCACGAGTCTGAAGGTGAACGCGTCGCCACGAAAGGTGTTCGAGATACTCACAAAGATGGACAGTCCGTTCTACACTTCTAACCATGTTATCGAGGATGCGCGCGTACTGGAAGAGCATACCGAGGATCACAGTGACGTGGTCTATTGGAAGCTCTTTTCAACGTCTCTGTGGCCAGTATCCGTCAGCGCTCGCGAGCTGTGTCTGTTGCGCTACTGGCGCATGGAGCCAGATGGCTCCTATTTCATTTGCTTTCAGTCGACAACGCACACGGATTGCCCTCGCAATACGGAAGCAGTGCGTGCCAACGTGTTGGGCGGCGGTTTTATCATCTCACCTCGCATACAAGAGAACGCTGATAACCACTTTGACGAGTGCTGGGTGACGTTGACAATTCAGATGAATCCAAATGGATGGATTGACTGGAGGCTAGCGCGCTCATGGTACTACGTCCATGCCTATGGCGTGTTCTTCTTGGAAATGATCACGGCCATTACGGCCGCAGAAGGCATGCAAACTTTGCGACCCGTGATTGCCGCTTCAGACCGTCGTCGAACAAGTATTGGCGGAAACCCACCTGTACCCAGCCAGCAGATTGTTACCGAGAAGAAGTTCCCAATGCTTGAAAGGTATCGGACTGACCTTACTGTGTTGCACGGGTTGCCAACCAAGTTTTGGAGCGAGCCTAGCGCTGCAGGCTTTATGGTGCGCGGCCCACAATATCTAACCTCCAAGACGAAGGTCCCATCGGCACGGCAAGCTTGTCGTCTTGTGAACGTGGAGCTGTACAAGTCCAATGAAGCCATCGAGCACATTGGGGTCTCTTCGTTTGTTGGGGATGACTTTGATGAGTTCGACTTGCTGAATCCAGCAGTGGAAGACCGACCGTTTATCTTCATCATTAACTTTATGCTTCCTGGTCCGCCACACCATTCGCTCGTGCTGTACTTCACACCAGAAGACCCATCTGAGCTGAAAAAGAACTCGGTGTTTGCCGATCTCTGCCATGATATTCTACGCGGGCCCAACGACGAGTTGCGGACGCAGCGTCTCAAGCTGATTCCACGCGTGGTGCAAGGGACGTGGCCAATTCGCGAGGGTGTGGGCACTACGCCAGCCATCTTAGGTACCAAGATCTATCAGAAGTACTACCAGGGCAAAACCTACTTGGAAGCCGACTACGACATCGGTAGCAGCATAGTAGCCACCGGTATCCTGAATATGTTGCTAGGCTACTCACGTGACCTCATCATCGATCTGGCGTTCGTGATTGAAGCGCAAAACGCCATGGAGCTACCTGAGCGTGTATTGGGCACTGTGCGTTTGGACTGCATGGACTTGCGCCATGCTGTGCCATATCTGAAGAAAATGGGCAAGGACAAGAAATAAAAACTGGAAAGGAACACACAAATGAGACGAAGTGAAGACACTGATGAACGAGACGCAGACGGCAGGTGACCAAATGCCAGGAGTACATTGCCTAATCTCTCAGATCCCTCAGCAGACATGTCGATGCAGCTCCTTCTGCTCGATGGGCCTTCCTATCAGATGCATCGTGACAAGTGTCCTCTGGAAGGTGGTATACATCTGGAAACTCGGCTCGTTGGAATTTTTAGGGGATAGCGTTGAATCTGCAACAGAGATATATCAAGATGACACAACGTTCGGGCTCTGAGCATTGACCCTTGGTCTAGGCCTTCACGGTAAGTCAAAGTTCTGCAGGTTTTTTTTAATCTCGTAGAGTTTTTTTGCAATTTCTAGCTCTGGACGCCGTTGGCTCGTTGTCGATCAGTATGGCTTTCATTTTGCTCGACATGATGCCAAGTCTCGTGTTGCATAGATGCACGTTCATGTTGCAGACCCATTTCGAATTGGAGACAATTTACTGCGAAGCGTCATAGTAGTATCATGGTGAATTATATATCCAGCTGTCCAAGATAAAGTGCCCTATATCATGCAAAAGTGGATACTTTCGGAGTGTTGTGTGGACGATCTTGTCTCGTCGTAACGGTTCAATAACCGTTACGACTAACAGTATTGTACCTATATGCCCCATAAGCATGAAGAGACACGTGTTCATTGGACAATTGTGCGATAAATGGCGCTGAAACAGACTAAACTATAAAATTGCATACTTATAATTGTACAGGTATAAGACGACCTCAGTATTAAATACGTACTGTATATCATAAGTGATCAATAGACGGCGGCGGATCATGGCGTCTCTTGGCCCGAACGATGTGACGATGGCCAGCGACATGGAAGAGCAATATCAGGAGCAGCAAGAAGGGGATGGAGAGACAATGAAGACAGCTGAGGAGAATGCAAGCGTCGAGAGCACGACCACGACAGTTGAAGAGATTACGACATTTGAAGAGACGCCTACGATCACGACAGTTGAAGAGCCTCAAATTTCAGAGGTTTTTGTATCGACGGATAGTATCAGTGCAGTGGCAATGGAAGAGATCGCTGAGACAATTGCAGCGAGGGACAGTGTTAATGTGGACATGGACTACTCAGTAGCTGCAACTCTGGGTAGTTCTATGGACGGAGAGAGTGTGAGGACGGAGGATTTTGCTGAAGAAGAAGTTTTTATTGAGGAGGAATGCAGTAAAAATGCTGAAGTGGATTTTACTGAATTGGCTGAATTGGCTGAATTGGCTGCTGCAGATGAAGCTATTGAGGCAGCAAAGACTCAGTACAGCAGTGATAAAGGTACGGAGACGACAGAAGATTTGAAGCAAGTTTATGCCACAAAAAAGATACAAGATATTAAGGAGATATCAGCTGAGACAGAGGTAGAAATGGGCATCTCTGTTGAACCTGCGCTGGAAGGTTTAGTCGACGTGGACAACGTTTTGAGCCTTGGTGACATGTGTAATTCGTCAAATGTAGATGGTATGGAGACGACGGATGCATTGACGAGAAATGAGACGTTGAAAAGCGCTGAAGTAGCAAATAATTTGGAAAGGGATAGTACTTTACATCGAGACGTTTCTGCTGATGCTGCGTCCCCGAATCTGGTCGCTCAAGAAACGTTTGTTGTCGTGACCACGAAGTCCGAGTCTACCGATGCGGTTGATCCAGTCCTTGAGGAAGCCGCCCAGGAAGTGGTGATCACGGACACCAAGGCTGCAGCTGAGGGTATAGAATGTGTGACTGCAGTTGCTACTGATACGACTACTGACAGTTGTGAAGCAGAAACGTCCGAGATAATCTTGACAGATTTGTCATCTGAGCCGAGTAATGGTTTTCACGCTCCAGCTGACTCACCTGAATCAGCATCACGTATCCCGGAGACGCAACTACGGAGTCTGAGTCTACCGATGCGGTTGATCCAGTCTTGAAGAAGCTGCCCAGGAAGTGGTGATCACGGACACCAAGGCTGCAGCTGAGGGTATAGAATGTGTGACTGCAGTTGCTATTGATACGACAACTGACAGTTGTGAAGCAGAAACGTCCGAGGCAATCTTGACAGATTTGTCATCTGAGCCGAGTAATGGTTTTCACGCTCCAGCTAACTCACCTGAATTAGCTTTAAGCATACCCAACACAGCAGCTGTGGAGCCCGTTCATGAAGCTGACATCTCAGAGAAGGTGCCGCCAAAGAGGTTTTCGTCGATGTTGACGCGTTTTGCTGAAAAAATTACTTTGAAGACGGGACCCCACCGTACCGACTCGGCGGCGAAGTTGGAGCTGAACTCACCGGCACCTGTTGAAAACATCGTACATCATCTCGAAGAGCACGAGTCGGTATCACCACAAACGCATCGTACTCCATCAGCTGCTAAACTGGATCTAAGCGGCTCATCGCCGGTAAAGAATGTGGTGGACCGCTTTGAAGCCCATCAGAATGAGAATAACGCTTTGGATAGCCTCAAGATCCGAACGAAACGTGACTTCTTTTCAGAAAAGGGACGTAGCATTTCCGTCAGCCATGAGAAGGAAAAATATAATACTCAGACGGCTCAACGCGCCAAGAAAGAAGCTGAAGCAAAGGAGCAACTAAAGTCACCTGCTAAGAAGCATAGTCCAGTTCACCGAAAGAGCTCCGCGATGTCAAGCGTACGGAATATGGCAAGTCGTTTCGAGAAGAAGGCAGACCAATCGTTGGATAATCTTTCTTTCCGCACAGTGCGTAGCTTTTTTCCAACTGAAAAGAGCATTCACGTTGGTGCGGAAAAGATGAAGTACGAGGCGCTGGAAAAAGAAAACCAATCAGCCAAGGAAGCCGAAGAAAATTTTGTTAAGCATGGGTATCATGAACAGCGAACCAGCAGCGATGTGGCAACTATTTTGACAGACAAAAAGGAGCCTGCCGCTGAGAAGTTTGGTGGAGAAGATGCTGTTGCACAGGTAACACCGTCAACGGATGACATGCCAAGCACCCCAACTAAATCCAACGAGACGGCTACCCTCAAAGCCGACCGCACCCCCGAGCCGTATCCTCGTCGGCATACTGTTAGTACTAAATCGGATAGTCCCAATGTTCGAGGCATCGCGTATCGTTTTGAAACAAAGCGCGCAAATTCAGTTGTTTCCACTCCCGTGCGGACCATTGACACTTTCATCGTTCCCAAAAGCGAAGCGAGCGTGTGTGTGTCCGCGGAAACGGCGAAGTTTGAGACACCAGAAAAGCAAGTAAGATCCGGCAAGCGGACAATCGACGATTTTCTCGTCCCCGAGAGCGAAGCAAGTGTTCGTGTGTCAGCTGAGAAGGAAAAGTTTGAGAAGCCAGTCAAGCAAGTCAAAGCGACCGTGCGCACCATTGACACTTTCATTGTGCCAGACAATGAGGCAAGCGTTCGTGTGTCCGCGGAAAAGGCGAAGTTTGAGACGCCAGAAAAGCTCGTCAAGGCGCCTGTGCGGACCATCGACACATTCATTGTACCAGATAGCGAATCAAGCGTTTGTGTATCAGCTGAGAAGGCGAAGTTTGAGTCACCGGAACAGCAAATGCAACTTACCGGTCCTGTCGTGCGGACGATCGATACCTTCATCGTACCAGAGAGCGAGGTTAGCGTCCATGTGGCAGCCGAAAAGGCTAAACTCGAGGCGCTGGAAAAGCAGAAGCAGTGCGAGCTTGAGGCACAAGCGGCAATCAAAAAGCAGAAACTTGAGAGGTCAATGTTATTGGCATCGGAGAAGGCTAAATTGGAAGAGGCCAGCCAGATAAGCGAAGAGGTAAAGACTGTCGAAGACGTTGCGATGGCCCATGAAGCGGAGGAGGTCGAGGTGGTGGGAGAGACCAAGGTGGCTAAAACAACGAAAGTAACTACGGAGGCTGAGGCAGTCAAGGAGATCGAGGCGATAAAGGAGCCTGTGGTGGTAGAAACCGAGGCCGCTAAGGTAGCTGAGGTGGCCTTAGAGACTAAATTGGTTCCCGAGACTACAGTAGCAATGCAGATCGTGGCGGCCAAGACTGAGGAGATCAGAGAGAGAGATGTGACTGCAGATTCCACGAATAACGAGGAAGCCGAAGTGGGATGGGAGTTTGGAGTAGGCAAAAATGAGGAGACTGATGTGGTCGAGGCAACAGCGGTGGCGGAACAGACAGAAGTCGCTGCAGGGACTAAGAAGGCCAACGAGTCTGAAGAGATTGACGAGTCGGAGGGAGCTACGAAAAGAACGGATGAGGTTGAGGAGAAGACGGCCAAGGAGGTCATGGAGATGACGATGGTCACCGATGTGAAGGAGTCCGAGGTGATCACTTCGATCAAGGAGGCCAATGTAACAAAGGAAGTAGTTGAGATAGTGCAAGAGAACAAGGAAGCTGAGGTAGATGAAGTATTTGAGGAGATCGAGGAAGTGACGGAGACGGAGGAAGTGTCGGACTGCGGGGTGGTGAAGACCGTTGAGGAGGTCCTCAACGAGACAACGAACGAGGAGCAAGAGATGCACAATTGGGCCAATTTCTCCATTCCAGCGGTGGAAGTCACGGTGGAGCGGCAGACGTTCGGTGATAATGTCTCTACAACGCAGCACGTACATTGGTTGTCGCTACCCATGAGTGTCAATCCTGCTCTTGCTCGTCTTCACACCGTACTGAGGGACCACAATCCGCTGACGGCTTATGCGCTTTACCCGAGCAATCCTCCGACCCCCACGTCCCGGAACAAATGAAGAAGAGCTGCCGTTTTCCTACATTCCAACGTCGAAGTCTTTAGCACCAACGGATTTCGACCGCCACTCGTCTGTATAGATCCAGCGACAAGTGAGATCAAGCACCAAGCTGCAAAGCGTCATTCTTCGCACCCCATTTACTTGATTTGAATGCAGTGACTTGGTACATGTGTATAATAGTTGTATGCATTATCTCTTCCACCTTGCAAACCGGCGACAAATATTTCAAAATGTCGACATATGGGCGCTCAAAGCTGTAGTGCTCAATCCTACGGGGTCGATTGTGTTAAGAAGTTTGATACATCGACTACTTTGCACTAGACGAGGATTAATCGGTATCGACCTGTCTTCCTTCTCGCTTACATAATTCTCAATCGAAAAGCAAGACAGTCAACCATTACGGAAAGCGATGGGTCTTGAAAGTCTCGGGAACACGAAGAACAGTCAAGATAATGGCACGGCTGATGAACATCACTACACCATTTAGCGTAGGAATTGAAGTATATGCAGATGTAACGCAGTATATTCCTGTCTCAAGACCACGCGTGACCGACGGCCACCTTTTGGTTGCAACAATCTTGTTTTATCCGTCACTAGTTGTGGTAATGTGGAGTGGACAAGTCCATCCGCTGTCATACGTTGGTAGCGGTAGTTATGTCGTTCCAGCACGGTCAAGTTATGAAAAGAGAAGAATATTGTTGAGGCACTGACGTAGTAACAATATCGGTGACCGTGAGCAATGTCGTAACGAGCTGAAAAACGCTAGGTATCATACTAATTAAGACAAGTCCCTTTCGATTATTGTGCCGTGCACTTACAACTTACCATCCAGGTCTGTTAAACTAGTAACTCATTGCAATGAGGTATCTCGCCTCACTCGACTCACACCTCCTTAGCTGTAGTCGTTGTTATTGCTAGCCGATCCGTAGCGTCCATGGTTGTGCTTGCCACTTGACATGCCTTCTCCAACCGAGTGGCTTGTGTGACCACGCTCTCCACGTGTACCACGGCCACGACACATTTCGCCCGTCTCGTCATCTTGGACGTGGCCTCCGGTAGTTCCACTCGAATTGCTCGAGTAGTCGACGTTGTCGTCATAGGCTGAATGCCGCGAGTCCTTCGTGGTATTGTGGCGACGACCCATGCCGGAATAGTTGTCGCTACTGCTTCCCGTCGTATTCGACGAACTACCTACTCCGCCCGTCATCGAATAGTTTGGCTTGTCGATACGTCCCGCATTACCTGTTACACTTCTCTCACTGCCAAGACCCGAGGCTGCGCCACGACTTGACCCTCTCGAGTATCCACTGTCTCCACCAGCACGAGACGAATAAGATGACGATGTGTCGGGGACACTTTTGCGACGATCATCCCAATCATCATGTGAGCCGCGCTTGTCACGTGAGTAGCTCTTCGTCCCGACATCAGGCTCCCCACTGGCATCAGAAGAGCGGTACGCTGAGCTGGCATCCGGGCTGGATCTTGAATGCTTGTCGTCGTCGTTCGACTTGTTGCCTACCTTGTCAATTATCCCTCGAAGCGCTTCCATTCTTACAAGTCGGAGTAAAACGTCAATTTCGGTTGTGAAAGGCATTCATGCTTGAGCATTGTCGTCTCATTCGAACGTCAACGACTTTTCTTAGCCCCCGTTAACAATCATTTCTCAAAGACAACAACGTCGCTTTTATAGGTGTCCGCATGGTCGCAGCATGTACAAGTCAACTAGATCATTCACCGTTCGTAGAAATTGCAAGTGTTGCGTCTCAACCTACAACGACATGATGCTCCATGACCATCCTCCTGCTTCGTGCTTGATCGCATTTTGGGCAGGACATTGGCCTCAGTGAGTACCGTGCTCAAAGCCGGCACAATCTTGGTCTTTAGAAGCCGTCGACTAGTAAATATCGAAGTCTATTTGAGGTCGTGAAAGATTATTCTGCATTGCTACCCGAGCAATGCTCGCATAGCACGAGGAGCCAAAAGCACAGCTGTATGGAATACCACCTCGACATGCAAAGACGCAATTACGCCTTGGTCAACGAACCACAACAGGCTCGACTATTCTTTGCATTTGAAGGTTCAGCAGTACTCGTTCAGCGGCACATGTATTCGATATGTCTACCAACGCATATTCGTGGCGAGTGTCCATGGCTGCCAGTAGTAATCCCACCCCGGCTGTGCGTTGTAAAGTGACCATAGCGACGCTAACGATTAGGCTAAGCTTCTTGATGTCTTTTATGGAGCAATAAACTTTGGCTGTAGTGACGGAGAGTGCAACCTTTCATCGTATAATGAGATGCTGGGCATCTTAACTTTTCAAAGCGGTACTGATTGCTATAATTGTTATTGTGCTTTCATGGTTTCTGTATTCCGACTCTACGTATTCCGACTGCTCGTCTCCAAGTTATAGTCTTCTACGACCGAACAACCTCAAAGACGAAACCCACAACGAATTTTGTTGATGCTGTCTTCCACAAGAGAACAACTCGAAGTTGAATTTATATTTGCTTTAGAAGATTATGGTGTATCTCTAGCATACTTGTTCGTGGCATCTATTTGCCTGGTCCTAGACCGTGTCACCGCTCTTCTAGTACGAATCGTGACTAGTGTACTTGTTCGCCGTGTCCTTAGCCTGGTCTGACATGGACTTATTGCTCGAATTACCTCCAGTGTAGTCGTTCACCGTGTCCTTTGCCTTGTCCATCATGGACTTGTCGCCAGTGTACTTGTTTGCCGTATCCTTGGCCTGGTCCGACATCGACTTATCACCAGTGTACTTGTCCGCCGTGTCCTTTGCCTGGTCTGACATCGACTTGTTGCTTGAATTGCCTCCCGTGTAGTCGTTCACAACGTCCTTTGCCTTGTCCAAGAACGACTTTTCACCAGTGTACTTGTTCGCCGTGTCCTTAGCCTGGTCTGACATGGACTTATTGCTCGAATTACCTCCAGTGTAGTCGTTCACCGTGTCCTTTGCCTTGTCCATCATAGACTTGTCGCCAGTGTACTTGTTTGCAGTATCCTTGGCCTGGTCCGACATCGACTTGTCGCCAGTGTACTTGTCCGCCGTGTCCTTCGTCTTGTTCATCATCGAGTCCATCGTCAAAGTAGTTTGGTTGTTGTAGTTGTTGCTTGTTGTCTGCAAAATTAAAAGTGAACCATCATGTCACCAACATCAATCCGATCCTTTCATGGCCATGCACGAACTTTCCAAGATCTATTTCGAGACAGGCACAAGAATTCCGCGACGCGAGGAGTCGGAACGATCGCCTGTCAGCACTGACTCAGGCTGACAACTGTCGTTAAAAAACCACTTAGACGTTTGAGCTATTTATGGATGTTGCATTGATGGCTTAGAGCTCTGAGCTTAAGTTTAGTGCTTCTTCGAGTAGTTCGTGGCTACTTCCTTAACTTTGGCTAAGATGTCACCCATTTGATTGTCCTTTTTCTCATCAGTGTGATGAGACTTGGGCTGGCCCTGCTTGGCGAGAAAGTCCTCAGCCGCTTCTACGGCCTTGTCAACTGGCGACTTGTCCTTTTGGTCCACATTCCGCTTGGCGACTCGCTTCTGCGCAAACTCGGCGGCCTTTTCCTTTGCATGATACTTCTCGGCCGCCTCCATTGCCTTGGTGAGTAATGACTCCTTGTCCGATTGTTTCTTGTGCTCGGTGCTGCTGCTACCATTGTATATCTCGGCAGCTTGCTTGAAAAAGTCCATGTATGCCAATCAATAATACTACTCCGAATCAAAAGAAGGAATGTTCACGCCAAGAGCTGCTACAAATCCAAAACGCAGCGTCTCGTGCACAAGAGGTGGATATTCTCGAGGAACAACTTCAAGGAGTTCACGAACTGAGTTCTAGAACATCAAATGTTACAACAGCGATGGATAACACTTTTTGCAAAGATGAAAGAGCTTATTCTTGTTGCGTGCCACACTGGCAAGCTACTTTTTCCTGTTACTAGACAACAACACTTCTTAACCTCAATATGTCCTTCTCCTTCAATTCGTGTTCTCCATCGCAGTGGTCGCATAATATCAACACGTTTGCATCAAGTCGTTCGCATCAAGTCGATAAGATGAGCTAGTGCTCTAACCATTCGCGCGTGACGAGGTATACGTCGGGTTGTTGGGATTTAACTGGTTTGAACGGTTGTCGGTCGACGCTTTTGCGGGCGCTGTGCCTCCAGTTCCTTTCGTTCCTGATCCACTTGATCCCTTCGATCCTGAACCTCCACCCTTTGATCCACCACCGCTGCCTTTACCCATCGTTTCTTCTTGGTGATACGGAGATTCAATCCAAACAAATCCGACGAGTTTTACGAAAGCGCTCGCTACACATCTACTCCCAGGTTGAGTTACCACTAGCCGAAAGAAAAGCAAAGTCTGCGTCCTATTGTCAACCAGGAACGGTGGCATCCATCGTTTGCAGAGAGCATTTTGCTAGCTATTGTCTATCACCAGTAACGGTGATATTCATCTTTTTGCTTTTAGCTACGAAACGGTTGCGGTTGCTTTTGTGTTATTCTGCTTTCAATTGGCATTGTCAAACCAGGAACGGTGGTATCCGTCTTTGCAATAGCTAGCTTCTGTCTTGTGTGTCATCCGTCTTTTGCATTCGTTTAGCTATTGTTGCTCAACGGTATGTTGTCTTATGCTGTCAGTAATTGTTGTCAACGATGTAACGTGCTCAACGTTACTTGTACCCGCTGAGTATGCGATATTTAACGGGCAGGTCAAATAAGGTACGTTAGTACTTAAGACCTGTCGCTTGGGTGAGAAACACCTGTGTCACACCCTTGTGTATGTGAGAAACTAGATGTATTCGCAATGATGGGGATGACGTCAGTCAGTTACGTCATTAAGCGAGCTTAAATACATTTTAAGTTCGCAGTTGGGATTCGCTTCTAAAGAGACGCGTATCCGATCTTTCCATATAAACCAATCTGTAGTTAGATTCACATTTAGTTAAATTCTATTCAATACAAGTCAGTCTTAAATTTAATAAACATTGTACACTTATGCTAAACATTGTACGCTGCGCACGAGAAGCTGAATAAGCTTCTGAGTGTCGTAACTGGAGCTCTTGTCTTCGAAGTTTGTTGCGCGGATCGCTTAACGCGACCGGCAACGGTTGATACAGCGCTTTTTAACGCCGACCAACACCATCATCACCGCACGCGGAAGTAAGACATTCTAACCGCTTCCTCCCGCTGCTCGAAGGTGTGTGCTTGCGTAGTACGTGACAGCTTCTTTCGAAGTGCCCGTCTACACTTGGTAGCACTAGTAGTACTTCCCACGACCGTCTCTGAGCGTGCGTGTGGCTACGGATGTCCCTCAATATGAATGGGGGAGACTTTCCTCAACTCTCCCAACACCATAGGGAGGTGGCTGAGCATTTGGAGCAGGGACTTGGCAAACAAGCCCTGGCCAACCTCTTTAGTTGTCTTTCTGAGCAACATGTTGCTCGGTTGGAGCAACTCGAGGCGTTTGTGCTCGGACAGCGTAGAAATGCATCCGTGGCAAACAGCCAAGCCACGGCTGAGTCCATTAGTAAGACTCAGGATGAGCTCTTGCGTGAGCAAGCTCGGAACCAGGCGCTCAACAGAACTGTTGAGACGCTTTCTGCTCGGCCTAATCAGCCAAGGCCCATTCGGATGGACCCTCCGAGGTTTGATGGGACTTCCCCACAACGATTTTCCACTAACTTTCAGCCGTAACGCAATGCGGTATGGCGCAGCTCATCGAGGACGAAACCAGGATGGTGTCGTATGCCATGTAAAATTTTTGCGTGGCAAAGCGTCAGAGTGGGCTTACTCTGCGCTTATGGCAACGCCGATGCGTTTCCATTATGGGCGATCTTTAAGTCAAAGATTCACGCCATGTATCAGCCGCCTGATAATGAAGCTTTACTTCAGGCGCGCTTCTTTGGAGCACGACAGGCGAAACGATATATGCAAGAGTATTTGAAGGAGATGCGTTCGCTGTCTGCGTCCATTAATGTAGGTCCGATACCGGAACACATTAAGGTGCATAAATGGACTACGGCACAGACCATCGCGTCAGGCCTTTTTATAAAGGTGCCAAAGACGATGGAGGAGGCTATTGAAATGGCCATGATTGAGGAGCAACAATGCCTACGGCGACAGCTTGTTATAAGCCGTCGGTCGAGAAGTCGGATGCCACTCCAATGGAGTTAGGCAATGCTAACGTGGTCTGGTAAGCGCGGCCATATGATGGCTCACTGCTATGCCAACCTTGCTGTTGGTGCTAAGGCATTCAGAAAAAAGGCTCCCTACCCGAAGAGAGGTGTGAAGAATCAGAGTGCACGACGAATGGGTTCAGCACCTGCCCAAGATGGGTCGGGAAATGTGAGAGCGCAGTAGGGGCGGGATGCCCTACTGTCGCGGACTCTGAAGCTACTCCTATGCTCAGAGTTATCGAAAAAATGGGTAGCATTGTATCTGAGGTACCGAAAGGTCGGATCTCAACCCTTTTGGTCTATAGCGCTCGAGTACGAAACTATGACCAGGTGATGGCCCATCTCGTTAATTCGGGTTCATCACAGGATTTTGTGTAAACTCGCGGCTCTGTGAGTCGTTTTTCCAGGATGGCAAGCGAGAAGAGGCGACCATTCGTTTATCGAACGGCACGCTCGTTAAATCGGAGCGATTTCAAGTTGATCTCGCCTTCAGCTTTCGTGAATTCTCTTGTAAAGAGAAGTTTACAGTGCTAGGTATGGAGAGCCCGTATGACATCATCCTGGGCATGCCTTGGTTGGCTAAACACCAACCATGGATTGACTGGCGTACGCGCACAGTCGCTAACTCTACGCAGGACAACGGAAAGGATGGGCTCCTGAGAGAGGCTTATGTGACTGATGCTGTGTCCAACACAGTTGAGGGTGCGATGACGGTATGTCAATTGACACCAGGTACTACCAAGCCTGGAGTAGTTGGAGGTGTCCTAACAGAAAGTCAGATGGCACAAATTACTGCCCAGATCGAGGAGACTGGTGTAGTGAATGGGACGATGACAAATAGTCATGTGTACAATGGCCCTGCACAGAGCCGAGAGCCTGTGGCAGTTGATGGTGGGCTGACAGGAAGTCAAGCGCCACAAGTACCGGTACAGAGCCATGAGCCTGGTGCGGTTAAAAGGAGTGCGCTAGATAAAATAGCAATGACACCTTCTTCCAGGTCAAAGGTCGTGGTGACTCGAAGAACGAGCACCAGACGTATTAAGACGATCAAGGGCACGTCGAAACGAGTGACCCGTGGATCAGTAACGGTCCAAGAGGACGGACCTACGAACGACTTGTTCGAGGCCGTCAAAGACAAAATGCCGGATTCATCCTCAGTTGAGGTGCTCCAACTTGTCTTGGCATCTGCCGAGGAGATAGTAAATCTCTCGGAGATGACGTGGGATCTGTTCCTGTCCGAACTAAAGGAAGAAAAGATCCACGAGATAGTCGCACCAGTTCCAGAAGAGAACGTGGTGGACTGTTGCTCTTCATCCACAATGGATGAGAGCGTCTTGGAAACCAACAAGAAGAAACGGTTTACTTTTAAAAGCTGGGAAGATTTGAAGGACAGCCTGATCTATGATGCTTTGTGGAAACACCGTGATGTGTTTCCAGCAGAAGTGCCGAGCCGCCTAACGGCCGATAGGGGCATCAGGCACGAGATTGACCTGAAGCCTGGCAACAAGTATTGTGCGACCAGGCAATGGCCGTTGCCGAAGGAACAAGTCGATTACATCGATGAGTTCTTCGACAAGCGATCCAAGGTGGGACATGTACGTGAGAGCAAGTCTCCTCACTGCAGCCCGACCTTCTTTGTGCGTAAAGCAACCGGTGGATGGCGCGTGGTTCATGCTTATAATAAGCTGAACACGGCCACCATTCCAGCGCAAACGCCGATCCCGCGGAAAGATTTCTTGTTGAATTCCATGGGAAAGTCAACTATCTTTTCCGCGTTGGATCTGAAGGATGGCTACTATCAGGTTCTCATGAGAGATACCGATGTAGCCAAAACGGCAGTAAGAAACCCAAGCGGTATACTGTGGGAGTGGCTTGTGATGCCACAAGGGTTGAAAAATGCTCCGGCAACATTCAACCGAGTGGTGCATCACGTGATGCGTAAGCACCGTTCCTACGAACCCCATTACTTTGACGATGTATTCGTGCATAGCAGGGCGGAGGAAGGTCTGAGCGCAATAGAGTCGCACAAGCGTCATTTAGACGCTGTATTGCAGACTCTGGGCGACGCCCAATTATACGTTAACTTGCAAAATTGCGTAATAGGGGTCCCCGAGATACCTGTGCTGGGCTGCATCGTAGTTACACATGGTGTACGAGCAGACCTAGAAAAGGTTAAGGTTATCAAGGAATGGCCAGTCCCACGACACTTGAAGGATCTGCGCCAATTCCTTGAGCTTGCTATTTACTTGCATACGTACCGCAAGTATTATGCGGAGCGGACTAAGCCATTTTCTGACCTTTAAAAAAAGGATGCAGAATGGAATTGGTCAAAGGAGCAATTAGATGCGTTAACATCAGTGAAGCAATCTCTTGTTGAGGCACCGGTCTTGTCATTGCCAGACGCGGATAAGCCCTTTAGCTTCGTCTGCGATGCAAGAAATTTTGAAATCGGCAGCGCGCTCATGCAGAAGGATGACAGCGGCATTTACCGTGTCATTTCGTATCGGTCTCGGCT